GGTTTCGCCCACTTCAGGCCTGGGTATCATCGATGTACCGTCCTTATCGGGACAACCTGAACATGGTGGTCATGGTTCCGAACTCAGTCTTGACCTCTCTCACCTGGTGGCTGGATCACAAGGCGGTTTGCACAGGAGTGCCGTTTCATGCCCCACAACCCTCCCTGCACCTGGTCATGGACACTTCATCTCTAGGTTGGGGCGTTCACCTCGGGGAGCACCATACACAGGGCCTGTGGATTGCATCCCAACTAGCTCTGCACATCAATGTTCGAGAGCTGATGGCGGTGCGCCTAGCCTGTCAGGCATTTCTCGGTCTCCTACATGGCCGTTGCGTGTCAGTCCTCACAGACAACACCACGGCCATGTTCTAGATCAACAAGTAAGGAGGAGCCCGGTCGTCTCTCCTATGCCAAGAGGCCATTCGCCTGTGGGAGTTCTGCATTGCCCACTCGATACATCTCATGGCATCGTTCCTCCCTGGAGTCCAGAACACTCTAGCGGACCGTCTCAGCAGATCCTTCCAGATGCACGAGTGGTCGATTTGCCCGGATATCATCCATTCCATCTTCCAGAGGTGGGGATTTCCCCAGGTCGACCTGTTTGCCTCACGCGCCAACAGGAAGTGCCACATGTTCTGCTCCCTCCAAGGGCATTTTCTGGGCTCCCTGTCGGACGCTTTCCTGCTATTGTGGAAAGACCAGCTGTTCTTCGCTTTCCCTCCATTTCCACTGGTCCACAGGGTACTGCTCAAGCTACGCAGAGACAAGGCACGTATGATTCTAGTCGCTCCAGCTTGTCCGAGACAGCACTGTTACACCAGGCTTCTGGAGCTATCGGTACAAACTCCGATCACGCTTCCATTGTGCCCGGACTTGATCTCTCAGGACCACGGCCGACTCTGTCACCTTGACCTGCAATCGCTCCACCTTACAGCATGGATGCTCCATGGCTGAATCGGACAGAGCTACGATGCTCACATCCCGTGCAACAGATTCTGCTGGGCAGTAGGAAGCCCTCTACACAGACCACTTACTTAGCCAAGTGGAAACGTTTCTCCTGTTGGTGTGAGCAGCGGGCCACGCCCCCCTTGCAGGCGTCAATTCCACTTATACTTGAATATCTCCTATCCCTAAAACAGCAGGGCTTGGCGATATCTTCGGTCAGGGTTCACCTGGCCGCTATATCGGCGTTCCACCCAGGAGAACACGCTTCCTCGGTCTTCTCTAACCCAATGGTTGTCAGATTCCTCAAGGGCTTAGACCGGCTATACCCACAGCAACGTCAACCCGTTCCGGCGTGGTATCTTAACCTGGTTCTCTCCAAGCTCACAGGGCCCCCGTTCGAGCCATTGGCTACCTGCTCACTCCTTTACCTATCTTGGAAGACAGCCTTCCTTGTAGCCATCACTTCAGCAAGGCATGTTTCTGAAATCAGGGCGCTCACGTCTAAGCCTCCATACACAGTCTTCCATAAAGACAAGTTGCAGCTTCGCCCCCACCCTGCCTTTCTTCCCAAGGTGGTATCAGCTTTTCATGTGAACCAAGATATATTTCTCTCGGTCTTCCATCCTAAGCCGCACGCCATCCGTCATGACCAGCATATGCTCTCCTTGGATGTACACAGGGTCCTTGCTTTCTATATTGAGCGTACGAAGCCGTTTAGGAAGACGACGCAACTCTTCGTTGCAGTGGCCGACCGGATGAAAGGCTTACCGGTCTCCTCGCAACGTCTCTCCTCTTGGATCACGTCCTGCATTCGTGCTTGCTATGACCTGGCCGGTGCCCCGATGCCACGCCCCACCGCGCACTCCACGAGGGCCCAAGCCTCCTCAACTGCCTTCCTGGCTCATGTCCCGATCCAGGACATTTGTAGAGCGGCGGTTTGGTCATCAGTCCACACCTTCGCTGCTCACTATGCACTTGTACAGCAGTCTAGAAACGGTGCTGCATTCGGATCAGCAGTTCTGCACTCAGCGATGTCTCACTCCGACCCCACTGCCTAGGTACGGCTTGGTAGTCACCTAATTGGAATCGATATGAGCAAGCACTTGAAGAAGAAAAAACGGTTACTCACCTTTGTAACTGTTGTTCTTCGAGATGTGTTGCTCATATCCATTCCAACCCGCCCTCCTTCCCCACTGTCGGAGTAGCCGACAAGAAGGAACTGAGGGGGCGCTGGGTTGGCTGGGGTATATATCCAGCGCCATGAAGGCGCCACTCCAGGGGGCTCCACAGCCGACCCACCGGGTGTTGCTAGGGTAGAAAATTCTCCGACAATCGTGCACGCGGTGTGCGCACACCTAATTGGAATGGATATGAGCAACACATCTCGAAGAACAACAGTTACAAAGACGACCATTTTTTTTGACGGGACACCCGGGGTCGCCCTGCCAGTTCTCTTCAGGGATCCCTTCTCCAATCGGTTGTGTACTTGCCTCCCAGAGTGGTCGTGACTGACCTCAGACCGATGGGTCCTCAACACCATCTCCCGGGGCTACGTCCTCCAGTTTACTTGCTAACCACTCCCCACCCCCATCCCTCCTGGGGGGCCCCTAGCATGATGCCCTGCTCGAGCAGGAGGTGGGGCGGCTCCTGGGCCTAGGAGTGGTGGAAGTGGTACCTGGGGAGTTCCTGCTATTTCCTTATTCTGAAGGCCAAAAGGGGGCTCAGGCCCATCTTGGACCTGCAAGGCCTAAATCAGTACATCGACACGGTTACAAGGTTTCCGGTGACAACAGCCAGAGCGTGCTTCCAGCTCTTGGGTTATATGTCGGCGTGCACGTATGTGGTACGTCACGCCAGAGTCAGGATAAGGCCTCTCCAGCTCTAGTTGGCCTCAGAGTTCTCCCAGGCCAGGGACAGGATGGACAAATTCCTCACGGTACCCGAGCCAGTGATCACCTCTCTATGGTGGTGGTCATCCCCGAGAAACATGCTCCAAGGGGCAGGGCCCTGTCGCTGGAGCTGGTATCTGACGCGTCAGACCTGGGATGGGGGGCCCATGTGGGGAACGTTCAGACCCGGGGTCTGTGGTCGGCTCAGGATCTGACCCTCCACATAAACGTCAAGGAGCTCAGGGCAGTATGACTGGTGTGCACAGCCTTCTGCTAGCACCTGGAAGGCTGGGTGGTCAGGGTCCTCACGGACAACACGGCCTCCATGTTCTACATCAACAGGCAAGGCGGGGCCTGATCCTCTGCCGCGAAGCCCTCAGGTTGTGGGACTTCTGTATAGCCCACAACATCTTCCTACAGGCCTTCCATCTGCCGGGTGCCCGGAACGTGCGGGCGGGTCAATTGAGCAGGACTTCTCCTCAGCACGAGTGGTCTCTTCACCCAGTAGTGGTGCACAGACTTTTCCAAGTGTAGGGAACTCCTCACACCTCTCGTTCCTCCCGAAGGTGGTCAGGACATTTTTCTGCCAGTCCTCTGCCCCAAACCCCATGCATCCACTGAGGAGCGCCGCCTCCACACGCTGGATGTGAGACAGGCTCTGGCTTTCTACCTGGAGCAGACTAAGCCAGGATATTAACAGTTTCTCTTGGTAGTGGTCTTGGCACAAGTACTGAAGCTAAAAACATACCTAAGGAAAATGCACAGGCAATGTATATACACCTCTACCCTGATATAACGGGCTGTCCTCGGGAGCCAAAAAATCTTATCGTGTTATAGGTGAAACCGCGTTATATTGAACTTGCTTTGATCCGCCGGAGTGCGCAGCCCTGCCCCCTCGGAGCACTGCTTTACTGCGTAATATCCGCATTCGTTTTATAACAGGTCGCGTTATATCTGGGTAGAGGTGTATTTCCTGTCCCTTTGGGTGGGCCGTGAGAAGAAGGAGAAGGTGCCATAAGCAGATAACTGAGTTAGTAAATCAGGCTGCTTGTGGCTAGACAGTATTCACGAAGAGCACAGCTGCTGAGGATGGAAGGGAGAGGATTCGGTTCATTTTAAGTTTCTAAGACCAAACATTTTTGAGATTAGAATGTGTTTAAAAAGCATTAGAAGAAATTTTCTAAACATGATTAACGCCTATTTTTTGCTGATACCCGTATCTCTGTTGCTTGTCTAAAACAAATGTATCTGCTGGACACAGGTCACATTTGCAAACAACACTATAACATTCCTGTACAATAATCACTGTCTGACTTGATAACTGAGAAAATTTGACATGGATGTCAGAGATATGAGATCCCATTATGCTTTTTTACAGAATTCCTCTTCTGACTAAAACTATGCTTTAATAAATTTATTTTCACCCTCATAACATTGACAAGCATTTCGGTGGTAGGTGCCATTTATAGTTTGAGTGATTATATTGTTATGTATAATTGTCATCCATGGTATACTTACCATAGCTGATATTGTGTTAGAGCCTTGAGTCTTTACAGAAAGAATGGACTATATAAACATAGATTTGTTTAACTTCTATTTGGACTGGTTCAAGATTATTTTGTCTAATGCTAGTTTAACATACTAAATTGAACTATGTTTTCAGTTCGGATGACATGGATGGTCCTGTGGAAGATATTGGTAGCCGCTCATGTGTAACTCGCTTCGTGAAGACGCTCTTGTCAATTATGGAGCATGGTGTTAAACCTCACAGTAAACATCTCACAGAATACTTTGCATTTCTTTATGAATTTGCCAAAATGGGAGAAGAAGAGGTGAATATAGCTTTTGTAGTTTTAGAAATTGTGTTTGTGTATATAAATGTATGTGTATTACTCAGATAACTCAATATTTACATTTTCAGAGTCAGTTCTTGCTTTCATTGCAAGCCATATCAACAATGGTCCATTTCTACATGGGAACTAAAGGACCTGAAAACGTAAGTAACTTTTTTCTGGAAAAATAATTAAAATATGAAAATCTAAGTAATCCTCGTTGCTTTGTTTTTTAATTTACCAGCTGATAAATAATATCAAAACTGTTCAGTAAATTGTTTCACTTTAAAAGAAAAATAAATGTAATATGGTCATCTCAAATGAATGCAGTGTTTCTGAAAAATGCTGGATTGATTATGCTGTATACTGACGTTTTTTGTTTAGTACAGAATTAGCAGCAGACATTCAGGTTCCTCATAATTTCCTATAAGTGTGCCTCAAATCTGGTTTAGAGTGACCTCTTTTAGGCCTGAGAGGATAGGTCAGTTTCCATACCCATTTAGTCCTTGGCTTTTCTGCTGAGACTGGCAGTAATATTGCCCTTTGTGACAACAGTTTGTATTATGTAGACTGCTATCAGCTAAGATGTGAACTGAGACTACCAACTCACTTCATGTACACTTTAAACTTGCTTGCAATTTCTTAGCAATTAATTAAATTATCATAAAGGGATAAATAGGATGATCTTAACCCAGCTTTTGAATTTGTGTTCTGTATTTTTTACATGCAAATATTTGAACATGCAAAGCAGATCATTAGATGTCTGTTTGATTTGATTTGTGCAAGCAAATTAGGGTGTTTGGAATGCTCAAAACTGAGAAAAAAATTAAAACATTTAGCAGTCTCTTTAAAACTCTGGTATATAATGTCATTATTGAGTTTATGGATCTTCTCCCTCCCCGTTTATCCAGCCGCAAGTTGAAGTGCTATCTGAAGAGGAAGGAGAGGAGGAGGAGGAGGAGGAAGACATTCTTTCATTAGCAGAAGAAAAATACAGGCCTGCTGCACTTGAAAAGATGATTGCCCTCATTGCTCTTCTGGTTGAACAGTCTCGCTCAGAAAGGCAAGAACTTTAAGGGACAGATTCTGATTTTGATTGTACTGTATAAATCTGGAATTACTCTGGTTTTACAATAGTGTAACTTGAGATCGTACTCTGGCACAGTGTCTTTAGGCATTTTAAAGTATAATATTGAGTTCTTTGCTGACCAAATGACTGAAGTTCCTAGTAAGACCATTGAACAATCATTTTATAGGCCTAATTTTTAATTATTTACCATGCTAAAATTATAGTAGCAGTTTTAATTTAATTCATCTATTTTCTCTTAGGTGTAACATTAAAACTTATAGTAGAGAGGATCTTGGGCTGACATACTCAGTTCCCTGGTTGCTAGTACATAAATCCAGTTTAATGGTTTCTATGCTAAAGTGATAAATATTTTGTTGTGTTTTAGGCACTTGACTTTGTCACAAAACGACATGGCAGCATTAACAGGAGGGAAGGTAATACTTCTAAATGTGAAAATATAATCAACTACCTTGAAAAAAATATTCATTAAAAGTTGTTAGATATTAATAATACCTTGGTACTTGTTACAGGGTTTTCCTTTCTTGTTTCAACATATCCGTGATGGCATCAACATCAGGCAAACCTGCAATCTCATTTTCAGCCTGTGTCGGTACAATAATCGACTTGCCGAACACGTAAGTACCAGCCACTGCTGTTGCTATTTGTTGAGAGGGTTTAACTGTACAGTGTACTGGGGTGATTTAGTGTTACAACTGAACAAATGTGAATCTAAAAGTGAGTTTTGTTTGTGTTTTGTTTTTAAGATTGTGTCCATGCTTTTCACATCTATAGCAAAGTTGACTCCTGAGGTATGTAAAGAAACTGCCTATCTACTAAATGATTTGTCTTAATCTTTTTCTGTTTTAAATTACTAAATTAATCTTTTGACAGCCAAAGAATTCTGCATGGAAAATGATCCATTAAAACTTACATGAGAGGAAATAAAATCTTACTGCATTTTATACCAGTTTTTCTAAAATAGATTACCTAATTCCAGATAATCACTTTGCTCAAAACCAAATAGCACTTTTTTAGATTCTTCACATAAAGAGTTAAGAGAAATTATCTGATAAATAGAAATGTCTGTGGACTAAGATAAGTGGAGAGAACAGATTATCCTGTGATTGTGCAAGTCTTTGGGCTAAGTTCTGCAGTTAGATGCACACAAATGTTAGGTGGACTAAATCTCTGCTCTAAAAAACAAGCATATTGAGAGCTCTGTGTGCATTCCACATGGTAAAGATGTGCAAAATGGGAAGCGTATGCCCAGATAAGGCCATCTTCATTTGTTACTGTCAGAAAAAAGTAAAGAGAAAAATAGGGGCATGGCAAAGGAAGGAGACCTGATCATGCTTGGAAAAGAAGCACATGCTTAAACCAATGTCATGACAACTTTGCTTTGTGTGTTAGAAGAGGCAATATCAGATGGTGACAAATCCACTTCCCTACACATGGGCTGACATCCACTACATTTTAATGCTTTTTTCCCTTCACCCCAGTAGCATTTTGTCATTGATGAAGAGTAAATTAGTAAAAAAAAAAAAAAAACAACCCAGTATTTAGTTTAGTCTTAGCAAACTTTAAAAAAATATGTAAAATTAGAGCCAATATGATAGGTTACAAATGGTTGGGTAGTTTCAAAGGTAACCCAAAGCTAGTAATCAGTTTGAACCCTGAATGACCAAATGATTGGTTTTGGGTAAAATTTTCAAGGTTTCGGGTTCCTGAGACAGACACATTTGAAAATGTTACCCTTCATGCAAATAAATTAAGATGATAATTTTACAGTGAGAGTGATACCATCTATATAATAATGTGCTATATTTGTCTGTCCTCCAACACTGTGCAAGTGTACCACTGCCCTCTACTGAGAGGAATGTCCAAGCTGTCAAGTGTGTGAGATCACGGTATCCACTCCTGGCGAATACTGCTACAGTACTGAGATCCCTAGTGCAGGGGTAGTCAATTATTTTTTGTCAAAGTCCAAATTTCTTGGCCAAGGTGTATAGTCAAGGTCCAAACGCCAGAGAAAATAATTAAAATATAACAACAATAATGATAATAAGTAAATAAAAAGATTTCAGGGTCTGTTCAAAAGCATTTGGTGGTCTGGATTTGGCCTGTGGTCTACCTATTGATTACCCTTGCCCTAGTATGATCATTACTTGTTGCATTTTATTTACTGCAGCATAGAAAGGATATAAGCCTTAGTCCTACTATATATGTATGAATGTTTCACAGGTTACAGCTAGACAAAGGTCAAAGATTATTAAAATTGTTCTGATATCTGGTCTGTTTTCAAAGTTTTTTTTATGCAAGTATTTGGTTTAACATAAGAAATATTTACAGAAGTATATATTTACAGTGTATCACTTGACTAAAAGTGATCAAAATGTATATATGTATCTTTTTGCATTACAGGCAGCCAATCCTTTTTTCAAATTGCTGACTATGCTAATGGAGTTTGCTGGCGGTCCTCCAGGAATGCCACCCTTTGCTTCTTACATCCTGCAGAGGATATGGGAGGTACAGTATGTAGAACAAATCATATTGGATTCTTTTTGTCCTTGATCACTTTTTTCTGCTAAAATACTGACAGTGTTTTAAAGGCCGTGTTCATTGTTATCCTTCCTTTTCCACCGTGTCAGTTTGAAGTTATATTTTAGTAATCACTTCTCATTCAAAGAAACAGTGATAAGCTGATAGTCCATAACACTGAAATAATTTGTCTGTTTTTATAATGCCCATAGTGTGTTAGGCATTTTATAAACAAATAAGGAGACTCTCTGTCACCCGGTCACTTCAAGATAATAGGTCTTGTGGGAGAAGTATATTTTAAGGTGTTGAAGGGGAAGAGGGTGCAGGCATTGAGAGCCTTTCTCTTCAACATAAACTGTGCCTTCAGCTCTAGACGTACTCAGTTCAATCCCTGGTATTGGTCATCATGGCAGCTGTCACACTGGCAGATGTCCCACTTTGAAATCTTTGAAGGATGAGAGGTGATATGCGTCATCTTGGCAAAAAGTACAAAAAGAAAATATTTTTATAAATGGGATTACTCTCAAGGTTGGTTAAGTAGCAGCCTTGAAAGTATCCCCCTAAATTTGTAAACATTTTTAAACAATACTGTAAGATGTAAATAGAGTTTATTTGCTGGATCTAATAATAGTGGATGGGATTTTCAAAAGTGCATAAGTGATTTAGGAACACAAAACCCATTGACTGTGATTTCATTGACCCATTATCTTACTAATTCTTAGTTGGTTTTGATACAATAAATACTATAAAATATACTGTATTTTATTTGCTGCTGTTTTCCTCTTTTCTTCTAGGTGATTGAATACAATCCATCTCAGTGCTTGGATTGGCTGGCAGTGCAGACACCTCGAAATAAACTAGCCCACAGTTGGGTGCTGCAAAATATGGAGAACTGGGTTGAACGTTTTCTTTTGGCACATAATTATCCTAGAGTGAGAACTTGTAAGTTTTATATAAGTTAAAGAAATTGGCTCTTCAGGTTATAAGTTATTATTGGGGCCCTACCAAATTCACGGCATGAAAAACATTTCATGGGCTGTGAAATCTGGTGTTTTGTGTGCTTTTACCCTATACTACATAGATTTCACAGGGGAGACCACTGTTTCTCAAATTGGGATTCCTGCCTCAAAAGGGAGTTGGGGGGTGGAGAGGAGCACAAGGTTATGTTAGGAGGGTCATGGTATTGCGCCACCCTTACTTCTGCACTGACTTCAGAGCTGGGTAGCTGGAGAGCGATGGCTGTTGGCCAAACCATGCCACCATTATTTCTGCGCTGCTGCCTTCAGAGCTGGGTGGCCGGACAGAGGTAGCTGCTGACTGAGGGCCCAGTTCTGCAGGCAGCAGCACAGACATAAGGGTGGCAATACTATACCATGGCATCTTTACTTCTGCGCTGCTGCTGGTGGAGGCTCTGCCTTCCAAACTGGGCTCCTGGCCAAGAGCCGCCGCTCTCCAGCTGCTCAGCTTGGAAGGCAGTGCTGCTGTCCGCAGCAGTGCAGAAGTAAGGGTAGCAGTACCACAACCCCCCTATAATAACCTTGCAACCCCCTCAAAACTCCTTTTTGGGTCAGGAGCCCTACAATTACAACACTGTGACATTTCAGATTTAAATAGCTGAAATCATGAAATTTATTATTTTTAAAATCCTATGATCATGAAATTGACCAAAATGGACCATGAATTTAGTAGGGCCCTAGTTATTATATATAATGTTTTCTTGCTACAAGTGAAAATGGAATTTTCTTGCTATTGTGCCTATTTGTTATACACAGATTACTCACCTTGAGATAATTATCTTTAGTAAAACTAACTTTCACTTGGTTGATACCTATTGTATCTCATCAATAAATGTTATCTTTACTTGATGAAAAACATAATTTGATTTATTAACCTGAATGATGATACATTTACGTTTTCTGTGTCTGACATCGTTAAATTAATATGGTCCAAATATCACATGGGAGAGGCTTCAGGGGAAGGGGTAGTCCAGGAGTTTACCCTTAGAATTTTCACCAAATAGTTGCATTCTAGGTAGGAGTGGGATTTGCTATCCCTTTTACTCCCCAACTTTGTAAAGTGCTTTTTGATCCACTAGTGAAAAGTGCTATAAATGGAATACTCATATAAATATTAATCTGTATGTCCTGTTCAAAGATTTGACAGATTTGTTTTTTGTTTTATTTTGAAGCTGCAGCCTACCTTTTGGTGTCACTTATTCCAAGCAATTCATTCCGTCAGATGTTCCGATCAACTCGATCCTTGCATATCCCTACACGTGACCTGCCTCTCAGTCCAGATACTACAGTAGTTCTTCATCAAGTCTACAATGTACTTCTTGGCCTGCTTTCAAGAGCAAAACTGTATGTTGATGCTGCTGTTCATGGCACTACTAAACTGGTGCCCTACTTTAGTTTCATGACTTACTGTTTAATCTCAAAAACTGAGAAACTTATGTTTTCCACTTATTTCATGGACTTGTGGAACCTTTTCCAGCCTAAACTTTCTGAGCCAGCTATAGCCACCAACCACAATAAACAGGCTTTGCTCTCTTTTTGGTATAACGTATGTGTTGACTGCCCAGAGAATGTACGCCTTATTGTACAGAATCCTGTGGTGACAAAGAACATTGCCTTCAATTACATCCTAGCAGACCATGATGATCAGGATGTGGTGCTCTTTAACCGTGGGATGCTGCCTGCCTATTATGGCATTCTGCGGTTATGCTGCGAACAATCACCTGCATTCACAAGACAGCTGGCTTCTCATCAGAATATCCAGTGGGCCTTTAAGAATCTCACACCACATGCCAGTCAATACCCAGGAGTAAGTACATTCATTCTGAATAGATATTTTGACATTTGTTCTAAATGCCTCCTCAGTTATTGCTTGACTATATATTTTTATAAAAAATACTTTGAACTAGACAAAAGCTCAACTTTACATACCTAAAAGCAAAAATATTATTGAGTCTTGAGTTCCTGTTATGAATAACCATAAAGCTTATAGGGCGAGCCCCTGAGCACCAGTTCTTCTGCAGCAAAGCAGCTTGGGAATGAAAAGGTGTCTCTAAGGAACCTTTGTGCTTCCCATTGATCCTGGAGCTTCTGTACACTGATCTGGTCATGAGGAACAGTTAAGAGCAACTTTTTTGGTGAGGCCAGGAAGTGGTATAGTGTAAAGCTAACTATACCAAGGAAATCTCTTAAACTAGTTTTTCACCTGCTTTGAGCTGCTGGAGCAGTGCCAGAATTTGGCCCATTGTGTCCTGTGCAAACAATGGGTAGTTACTTGTTCTGTTATTGTAAAGTCTATGTACCTCTTAGAAATTGTTGCTACATTGACCATTATAATATCTTGCCTTAAGAAAGAATGTTGTCCGCAACTTTTTTCCCCCTGTAAAATAATTACAATGTCTTCTTGTAGGTTAATGTACATAATTATTTAAAAAGTTGTTTATGAGCAACTTAGTTTATTTGGCACCAGTTTATCTGGCACACAGTTACTTTTCAGAGTAGAGCTGTACTGTAAATGGGGATGAAACTGTGTGACCAGTCATATGGAAGGTTTCTGGTTGAAATGAACAGTTTATCCTGGTCCATCTTATTCAGGAGTTCTCAAGCCCTGGCCAGCTGAGGGCTGTGTTAACAAGCAGGTGCCCAAATGACCACATTTTATTTCCTAAGATGGAATAAAATTCAGCTGCCCTTATCTCTGTTACAGTGATGCTATCTAAGAAATTTCCATTCCCACTATGAGATGGAGCACTGTGGGATCAGTAGATTTCCTAAAAGCATACTAAAGATGAGGGTAACCACAGGTGATTCTTCAATAGTATCCCTGATGGTGCTCCATTTCAAGTGCAAGTGCACCCCATGCATCTTTGGAGATTTTTGATAGCAGTGCCTATTTGGCCTACATATGCACTCTAGACATCCTTGTACCCCATACTGAGGCTATATAGAACTGTGCAGGAGAACTTCACTTAGTTCCTTCTCAACAGCCCTACAAGCTGAGATGGAGCATCTAGTGTGCTTGCTTCAAGTTTAGTTTATAGCTTAACCTTACATTTTTAGTGTTAATTTTACATTAGTTTAGTTGACTTAGTTTTATACCTCTTTGGATTTAAGGGGTTCCTTTTTTGTTAATACTCCTTCTCCTCCCACCTGACGGGCAGTCTTGGGGGTTGTTGTTGGCAAGGTATGCCAAGATCCCTGGGATTCAAATGCTGCCTCTCCTGCCAGAAACTCACCCTAGTTAATGACTGAGACACCACATACTTTGCACTTGAAAGATCTGCATTTCTTTTAAAAGTAGATCACGAAAAATGGGAAGATTATGGTGGAGCAAACCCTGCAACTGGCTTCGGATCCAGGCTCAGAAAACCCCCTGTACATCAGCCTCTGAGTACACTTAGTGCTCTATCAACCTCTATATCCCAGTCACCAAGATCTTCACAGGAGAAGAGTATGCAGAGTACTGATGAGGCTCCGAACTAGAAGAGCTAGATCTCCTAACAGAGACTCTTCATCGAAGGGAAGCTGTTCACCTCAGAGACTGACTACTTGGGAGACCTCAGGTCCCTGAGGGAATACTGTTGAGGCTCCAGGCTGCTCCAGTACCAGGAGCTCTTTGAAGACTTTCAGTGCTTTGAAAAAACACAGTGCCAGACATACATTGTTACCAAAACCGACTCGGGTACTGTCTAAGCTTTAGCTTTAGCAGAAACTCCAAGCACTCTGCCTCTTGGAGATCAGCACTACCTACAACTTCTGGGGTATTGGTTCTGTTACTGACACCAAAGAATCATCAACATCCTCAGTACTGTCATCATCTATTTAACATGTACTGCTGAAATAGTCATCATCAACACCATTTTCTAAAATGGGACTGCTGAAGCAGTCAGCTCTTGGTACCAACTCTGGCCATGATGGAGCCTCATATTACCTTTTCTTCCATACATCCAGTGCTACAGGAATTTAGATACTCCAGGGAGTTGTTTTCATACAAAGTCTCTACTGTTAATGGGTACTGATAACTATCAATACCAAGATCATCTGGGTCACCTGGTCCCTTATCTTTACCCAGGACCTTCTAGTTCTCTAGTACCTACTGCACAGGACAAACAGCCATCTTCACCTTCACTGTTTGCCCTGCCCTGGGACTATGTTGAGAGTGATTCCTTTGACTCCCAGATTTCAGTACAGGGATCTCCTGTCCATCATCAAAGGGACATTTTCCCGACCGCCTTCACTGAGAGGGAAATTCCAAGGGAAAAACAATTTTGTGTCCCTTCTCACTGGCATGGCCAACATCAGGTGCCCCCTCTTTGCCTTATGGTCCACCTCATTGGCCATACTGGGATCCATGAGCTGCCTATCACTAGCAGTTCTCAAGACCTAAATCCTCTCCAGGAGATCATTGAGAGAGACATTGTCTTGCTCCATCAGTCCTTCCTCAACAGCCCCAACCTCAGAAGAAGTCTTTCAAGGAGCAAGAGGCTAGAGTGGACAAGGAAGTGACACTGAAGACTTAATATTTCATCATCGTCCCAAGATGAGGAGATAATCCCCCTTCCTTCTCTTGCTGACCATTTTAAACAGTTTCAGAAACCTGTTAAATGCATTGCTGACTCATTACAGATTCTGTTAGAGGAGGTCCAGGAGTCACAACAAACTGCTGAACATTTTGCATACAACAGCTGTCAGTCGCCTGACTCTACCAGTGAATGAAATCTTACTGGATCCTGCAAAGATCATCTGGCAAACTCATGCCGCCACACCACATGTGTACAAACAGGCTCTTAAATGAATTACATCCCAATGGAAAAATCGGAATTTTTGTTTTCCCACCCTGCAGCAAATTCTTTAGTTGTGGCGGCTGTCAGCTAGCATGGCAGACAAATCACACAAAGTATATGCCCTATGATAAAAACCAAAAGCAACTTGACCTATTTGGTCTTAAGAGCTATTCTTCAATGACCCTGCAATTTCAGATTGCAAATTACCAAACCCAGATGGCAAAATATAACCATGCCATGAAAAATGCAATAATTTTGTTGAATATCTCCCTGCAGAACATAGTGGCCAGTTCGAGGCCATCATAGCCAAAGTCAGCTCCTAGAAAGAACCTATTGCAGGCTTCCATAGACACAGCTGATGCTGTGGCATATTCCATCTCCACTACAGTCATCATTTCTAGAGCATCTTGGCTACAGCTGTCTGGGTTTCCTAGGGAAGTCCAAAATACTGTTGAAGACCTTCCTTTTGCCGGACTTGCACTCCTCTTTGAGTCCACCAAAGAATCTCTCCATACCTTGAAAGATTCCAGGGCCACTCTTAGGTTCCTCTCCATATATGCATCTGCAAACAAAAGAAAATGTAGCAGAACAAAAATGGCACCGAGAGATCATCTGGCTCAGTTCTTTACATACCATTGGCCTTCTGAGCCACCTAAGGAACTGATTCCATCACCCAGACGTTCACTTTTTGCAAGCATCAATTTTGATGGTTTGGTCAAGAGTCTAGAATATCCCCACCTGAGGACTATGCAGCTGCACCATTCCTACAACATCTCTTCCTTTGGAGACCATCTCTCATATTTCTGAATTGCGTGGGGAGCAGATTACATCCAACAGATGTGTTTTGAAAGCCATAACATCGGATTACTCCTTTTGTTTGATCTACATTCCCCTACCCACCTCCCTTCCCTGCTCCTTTTCAGGAGCACATCTCACAGTCATTTACTGAGACATTTCCCTTCCAAGCATGGGGGCCATATAAGTGGTCCCAATCCAGCACAGGAGGAAGGGATTCTATTCCAAGTATTTTCTGGTCCCCAAAAAGAATCCGGGATGGAGACCATATTAGATCTCGGACTCCTAAGCACCTTTGTGAGATCACAGAAATTCAGGATGGTGACTCTTGCAGCTATAATTCCAGTGTTAGATTCTAGGGATTAGTTTGCAGCCCTCAACCTTAAGGATGCATATCTTTGCATCTCATTTCACTGGTCTTCCAAGAGATACCTTCATTTTACAGTCAGCCAGGACCATTTCTAGTACAAAGTGCTTCCCTTTAGCCTCTCCTTTGCCCTGAAAGTTTTCTTAAAGATCATGGCAGTACAGTAGTAGCTACTCGCCTACATTCACTTGGAATAATTGTCTTCCCCTGCCTCAACAATTGTCTGCTGAAGGGCTGGTTGCACAACAAAGCTCTCTGCAGTACAGTGTTCCAGTTCTGCAGTGATACAACTTCAACTCAACATTGAAAAGTCGACTTTGATCCCAGTACAGCAGATAGACTTCATAAGGATGTCTCTGGATGCAGTGACAGCCAGAGCTTACCTTCCCATGGACAGGTTTATGACTCTAACTAACCTCTTTACCAAGGTCCCAATAAGCCCCCAGAGATTAGCAAGAAGTTGTCTTCAATTGCTAGGCTATGTGGCAGCTTAGCAATGCACCATTCGCTGCTTCCAGGGATGGCTCAGAATGGTCTATGTTCCAAACAAACACAGTCTAGACAAGCTAATGATTGTCCGTCACCAAGTATTGTACTCACTGTGGTGGAAGACCCCTATAAAGTTTGTGCAAGAGTCCTTCACCCAACCACCACTATAACATCAGATGCATGCATCCTGGAAGCAGGAGTACACCTAGGGACACATACTGTTCACAGCAAATGGTCTGTCCAGTAGTGTCTTCTACATGTTAACCTACTGGAACTCAGAGCAGTGAGGAATGCATCCATTGCCTTCCATTATACAAGGGCAAATCTATCAAAGTCATGACTCACAACATAGCCTGTGTTCTACATCATTTAGATTTCAGGTCAGGATGAGGTTCATTTATTCTGTGATATTATTGTTCTTTTATTCTGTGATATTATGATTAACTAACATGTCATGTCATAATCATAGTATGCTAAATAGAGTTTAAATTGTAGAATTATAGACGTATAAGATAGACCAGTAGTTAGAAGGGATAATTATGGATGAGGTATCTAAGTAAGGATGGCTGAAACTCATGACCTATAGGCTGAGGCCTGTCAGATTTTAGCTTAGCTTTTTTAGGCTTTAGAGTTTAAAAATGCTGACATACATAAGTGACCGAAGAATAACCCGATGCCATAAGATTACAGGAAAAGATGTACCTTGGGGTAACATTGTAAAAAATTAGCCGGAAGATTAAGTTTAGAACACAAAAATGCTCTAAAGGCACATTTCTTTCTAACATGTGCCCTAACCACAGAGTACAGGTTGTGCGTCAATGCTAATGAGAATAAAAAGAACTATACACAACCTATAGGAAACGGGGTACCTCAAGTTTCTTGGGGGCACCAGATCAATAAAGAAAAAGAGGGTTGACATTTTCGTGTACATGCACAGAATGTAGGTATAGGCAAAATTACATTATAAAAAGAGGGTGCCCAGATTGGGAAAATTGAGCTCCCTATGGGAAACTCTAGCAGAAACCATCCCTCTACTGATGATCAATCCATGAGAGACTCATCAGACCCTAAACTATCTAGGAGGATGTGAGTATGACCGTAGGTATAATTTGTGTATGGATATATTTAGGATTTATATATGCCGTGATATTCATAACTGTGCTGCTAACTTTAATAAAACTGATAAAAGATATTAGACCTTGCTCTTGTGACTGTATATGCTACTTTCCTTGGCCATCATGTGTTCCTATGAACTCTAGATTTGAAACAATGGGCAGAGGTAACTCTCTTGAACTAGAGACTGTAAAATCCACAGTGATGTAATACAACATCACTAAATTAACTTCAAATAAAAATAAAAGGCTATAGTGATCTCCCTCTCTTTGTGCCAAAGCAGTAAAACTGTGGCATTGGTGTATAGCCAACCACATTCTTATCTTGGCCTCCTATCTTCCAGGCATACAAGGGTTTCCAGAAGTGGACCTCTCTGGTACCATCAACAGGAAATGCAAGAAATTCTGTTCGAGAGGAGGGTTCATTCTCTAGGGAATGCCTTCTTGGCTCCATGAATGGAAGGACCTTCTGTATGCATATCCTCTTTTATCATTTAACCTCAGAGTGTTGAACAAGATTAAACAAGACAAAGCCTGAGTCATTTTAGTGGTACTGACCTCGCCGAGAGAAATCTGGTACCCTTACCTCCTCCATTTCGCTCTTATTCAGTTAGCTTCAAAAGTTTGAGATTCCACCACTGGTGTATCTGCAGGCAGTCTTCACCTACTCATTCTTCCCTCTCTTCAGCTCTCAAGTAACTTTTGGAATTAAAAAAAGTCATGGCTTTCCATGAGTTCCATAATGGTCAACTTGGTGACTATTGGAACCTTTTATTTGTCTGTAGAGGGATTTCCAGTGTTTGCCCATCCCATAACAATAAGGGTTGACGAATCTTTACCACAGGTTACACAGCCCACATCTGTGGGATTTCAATCTGGTCCTTAATTGCTTTAGGAAACCTCCCTTTGGACCACTGGTTACCTGTTCTCTGCTTCACTTGTCCATGAAGACAGCCTTCTTATGGCCGTTACATTTGCTCGCAGTCAGAGAAATAGGGGCTTTCATGGCAGATTCTCCCTTTACAGTAGTTTTCAAGGGAAAAGTTTCATTACAGCTACACCTAAAGTCTCTACCCAAAGTATCATCTGAATTCCATTTTAACAAGGTTATTCATCTTCCAGTTATTTTCCTGAAGCCACAGTAGACTCTGGAAGAAGCTAGTCTACATACCTTGGATGTCAGAATGGCACTAGCCTTCTATGTGGACAGAACCAAACCATTTAGAAAATCTTCCAGACTCTTTGTTTAATTTGTGGACAGATCAAAAGGATCGACAATCTCCACTCAGAGAGACTCAAGGTGGATGAGGCTTGGTTATGGTTTGGTTATAGTTATAAGGCTGCCAAAGTCCAACTTCTTATGGTACTTGGCCATTATACAAGATCCTTACCTCAATAGCATTACTGAAAAATATTTCAGTTGCTGACATTTGCAAAGCTACAACCTGGACCTCCGTACATATATTCTCCAAACATTCGTTCAAGCTTCCAGATCAGATACTGTGGTTGACAATGCAGTTCTGTCTCAGTTTTACTACTAATCCGAAGCCCCCTCTCTCTTCTGAAGATACTGATTGGGAGTTACCTGAAGTGGAGTACTTATAGGAGGGACACTACTCGAAGAAGGAGAGGTTACTGACCTTGTGCAGTAACTACAGTTCTTTGAGGTGTGTATCATTCTGGGTTCTCCACTACCCTCCCTCCTTCCCCTCTGCTTTGGAGTTTTATCTCTCAGGACTTCACAGTAGAAAAGGAACTGAAGGTGGTTCACTTGAGCAGCTCTCTATATCCTTAGTACGGGGCATGAGGATGTCTGGAGCATGTACACAGGCCGAATGGGCACTGCTACCAAAAATCTCTAATGAGAGGCACATCGGACTTGTGTGTACCTGAAGGGACATACATCTAGGAGAACTCCAGTTACTGCATAAGATGAATAACCTCTCCTTACATCTTGGAGTTCTGTTTATCATACTTGTCTCACAAACACACTTACCACTTCAGATATTATTGAAAAAGTAACTGTGTGCTGGTGCAAATAACATATTAAATTCCATCAAAGCCAGAGCAAATGCTTCCTCCCAGTATTTAGTCCGTCGTTTCCTTTCAGTATTTGCAATGGCAAATCACGACACACATCATAAATCATAGGGTCTCATGTGTAACTGAGTATGAACAAATCCATTGAAAATATTGAGACAAATCAGGGATTCCTATGTGAAAATTGAACAAATGTATCTTACATGGAGGACCTCTGTAGCGGTAGAGAGGAGCCATCCCCAACAAATACAGAGAACACTCCTACTTCCCATGTACTGTACTGCTGGAGGTTTTGTCCAGTGTATCTACATAATTTGAGACTCATTGATCAAGCCCTTTCTCTGGATGGCTTGAAGAGGGTCCTGCTGCATTCAGGGATTTATCCTCTGAAGCCTCTCTGCAACCTGCCCCCAAGGAACCATGGTGGTTCTGCCGTGTTTAGGGCCTTCCAGGCATAGGGGACTTGTAGGATTTAGCCCAAATAGTTTTCTGCATCTTGAAAGTGGATTCTGGCAGTGCAGAGTTAAAAATAGCTATATATCATAACTGCCAGATAATTTACTTACTTTGCTACAGAAATTGACCTTCTGTTGTTCTAGAAAAGCCCAAGAACTTTGTGGTCACATGGATAAGGATTTCTCAATGTTATGTATTTGTGCAATTGTAGCAGTAATCTGCATTGATGGTAAGCATCAAGATATCCCAAGATATCTGCTGATATAAAGGGACATCTCAATGTCCTTGCAATATGAGAATATTCTTTTTAGAACACCTTATGCCAATTCAGTTTATTCTGAAAATATGTAATATGGTGAATATCATTAACTGATATCTCTCTCACTTCACAAAGAAAACAATAAGGGGTGAACAGAGACAGCACTCTAGATAGAAAATTGTAGGAATATATACAACTTTTGAAGCTGTATTTATGTTTAAGTACTCTTATTTTTTTAATAAGGTAATATTTAAAGAATATCAATGCTGTGTATTTTTCTGATTTTTCCCCTTCTCTAAAATATATAAAAATGTCTTCTAGATTCTCACATATATGTCACTTCAATGTATTGCTTAATAGAAATAATGCAGAGTCATGAAGAGGAGAATATAAGCCATAATTTATTAATTAAGAAAGATTACCTTAACCTAATATTTATTTTGTTCATTTTAGGCAGTAGAAGAGCTGTTTAACCTCATGCAGCTGTTTGTAGCTCAGAGGCCAGATATGAGAGAAGAAGAGATAGAAGACATAAAGCAATTTAAGAAAACAACCATAAGCTGTTATCTGCGCTGCTTAGATGGACGGTCTTGTTGGACTACTTTAATAAGGTATTACCGTACTGAAATGTTAGTGAGGCAGCTTAATTCTTTTCATTTAAAAAAAAATGCACTTTTTAGAATTTGAAATATCATAAATTATTCTTCAGTATAGCTTACTTTATTATATACACTTTTTGAAAAATCTATGATACTGTCTTTATAAATCTTGATACTGTCTTTACTGTCACATACAGTAAAGTTGTAGTTTGTCTCTGAAATACAGAAATTGTCTCTTTATATATAAAAACCTATTGTGCATGAAAATAATAATTTAATTTATAAGATCCCACCATGCAAGGAACTAAATACATATAATTATCAGTAATTTAAAAAATAAACATACATTATTGTTATTCAAAACAAAATGTTAGAAAGCCATAACAAAGTGTTGTTATTAAAATATTTTCTTTGACATAAAGCCTAGAAATTCAGTAGTAAAGCTGAAACTTTATTCTGTATCTTAACCCACCCTATTTTGCATAGCTTGGTGAGCATGTACAATGTGACAATTTACCCTCCCTTGCAAAATTGTGAGGCACGAGTAAGGTAGAATGGTGGCTTTGGTGCAGGGTTTCTGATTTATCTGAGATTATTTTATACATCACCTCTACAAAGAATTTAAAGTTCTTAGGTGCATCTTTTTGAAATTTTAGTTCTCTGTTGAATATGTGAAACTAGTGATTTTTTTTCCCCCATTTTATTTATGGATATGACCATAAAATGGCTATGTCACACATCACTGGGAGTGTAAACCCAGCAACGGATGGGCTGGAATGTTCTTGTGAGAAGAGAAAATCTCCTTTACTCCCCTGAGGGCATATACGTAGTCATCTATCTTAGCACGGAAGCAGATACGCCGCATAATTGGATGCTCAAACTTAGTAGAAATATTAGTGTGTAATTATTATTTTTCGTAAATATTCTGGTGTCATGCTTTATTTTCCGTGGAAAATACCCTGGAAACCATTGTTTGAGTGAAAGAAATGGTAGCACTTAGAAGCTGTATGCATAAGCTTACATAGGAAGGAACATGTGTGTTAATGAGTAGAAGAGGGGGTGTTCCATATGTGGTGAGAACAAGAACTATTCCCTGAATTCTTTTAAAACTCAGTACTGTTTTTAATGTATAGTTGCACCCTTAATTTGAGTGCTCAGTTAAATGCTCAACTGGCCAGGCAAAATCCTTTATTTTTACTTGTATGCTTAAATTGCTCTTTCAGAAATATTTCTACTCATTTGCATTCTCAAATACATGCTTAATTGCACTTTACCATGCATTTTTTGAAAAGCTTAAACCTTCATCTTTGAATGGATTGTTTTCTTTAGTTTTTTAATACTTTGAAGCCATTCATTACTTGTTAAAACATCTTTGGAGAGAGTGTCCATAAAATACTTTTTGAAGAGATATTCTTGTTTTAAAAAGACGGAAGTTGGTACTACCTCCATCAAAGCAGTTAGTTTTAGAAGTATGTTTGGCACTACAAGGAACACTTCTAAAGTAATAAAATGAAAAGACTGAAGGTGATAATTGTATTCATTTCATTTTCTCCTGATCTGTGTTCAGACCTCCAAATACAATTTCACTAGTGCTGAATTTAATAATTTTAAGGCCTTGTGAGAATTATGAAAAGCTGGTATTTTAGGCATGGTTTTTTTCAGTGTTTGTTTAAGTCTTTCCTTCTTTTCTAGTGCCTTCAGAATATTATTAGAATCTGATGAAGACAGACTTCTTGTTGTGTTTAATAGAGGCTTAATCCTGATGACTGAGGTAAATATTTCATTGTCACTTAGTTCAAATGAGCATCTTCCTTTCCCATTGACTCATCATCTGAGAGGATGGGGGGGGTCTCATCACTTCCTCATTGATAAATATGCTTGCTTTAAGTATTTTTTTTAATCCAGTATCAGCCATTTTAAAACTACCTAAAAAAGTGGGGAGAGGTGATTCAATCCTAAAATGCTTATAAAACCAGACGTCTTCAAGTGTTCATCCTTAGCTAGTTGATCTCAGAAGTTTGAATTTCCCAGTGATGACAATGTTAATAACAAAAGCTATATAAAAACCTAAACAAATCTTTTCTTTTTTTAAAGAAAAGAAATCACAAAATCAAAACTCTGTAATGCTATAATAAAACCCATGTAAATTTTTAAAACTGATATAAAAGTAAACCTACTAAACTGTATTTGCTCTGAAATTTTTGCTGGTTGCCTTTTGTCTCTTAGAAATGTTTAGATGTAAGAAATTTGAGCTAACAAATTTATGAACCAAACTCTTAACTGTTCCTATATCACACTTGTTTTGGGGGGTGGTGGTGTTTGGGACAGGACATTACAAAGATATTTCTAGAAATAAAGCATAACTAGTTTTGTTACTTAACAGCTAGGTTCACCTTCTAGTTGAAGGGTGCTTCATGCAGAAAGGCTAACACTGGACCCAATAGAACTCCATTAAAGGCTCTGGAAGCTGGATAAGGCCACAGTGTGGTATAAGCAATGTCTTGTCTGAGCTGCTCTTCAACTTGTAACTACTGTACTATATTATAGACCATATGCTGTCACTTGTCTGCTAAAGGTGTTTTTATATGTTAAATAAACAGCATTAAGAACGTTCCACGTCAGCAGAATAGATTTCCTCACTGCAAAGGGTTGACAGTGTATCCTGAATCTTTCTCCTGGTATAAATATAGATCATAATTAAGGTTTTGCATTATATTTTGAGGGAGATTAATATATATAGTATTTCCTAATCTGTTGGATGTTTGAAACATAATTGGCATTCAAGCAGAGTAAATATCTTCTCAAATACCTTCTCAAATACCTTCTTTGCCAAAATCCTTGCAATATTGTGTATTGCCAGCAATATGAGTAGCCTATACCACTACAATTTCTAAATCAAAAATCCCCAGAAGATGCTTTTGTTAGAGCAGTAGTAATAATTCAGCTGACACAGAATTTTATATTGTATGTCTGTAATCAATGCACATAAACTTAACTAGACTATGTATGATTATTCTATAACCATTGTTTTCTTAAATATGTGCACCCAAGTCCCTTTCCCACGCCTCCTTAATAGAACTTTGTTTCTGGACAAATTGGGATTAAAGATTTGTAAAATCTTAAGTGTTTTGGGCTCTACTTGGCTCTTTAGGTTTTAGACTTCAGTCTCCACCTGCTGCTTATGCAGATTTAAGTAGTTGCCTTGAGCCAGAAGTGTTTAGCTTATGCAACTTACAAACTGCACAGGCTATGCATGCACAGATTGCATTAACCTTGAAGCAAATCTCTTCGTTTTACAGATTTTATAAACTAAGTTGGATGTGTTTGCAAAGCTTTTCTGTTTCCTGAATCAGACTGTTTGCGTGTGCATGCAGAGTTTGCTCTGTTTTTCAATAGCATTTTTAAACTCATTTTCCACGGGCACACGGTGAGAAATTTCTGATTGCTCTAGTATTGGTGAAATTTAGAGTGGGATAAAAATCAGTTTTATAACCAAAAGCAAATCACAGTCTAAATCATGGACAGACTACCATCTCTCCATAATACCAAAACTCTGTACTAGGGCAGGAAATGATATTAGAGCATTACTTAAAATTACTTTCTTTTTGACAATCATTTGTTCATAGTTAACTAACTGTTCATTATTTGGACAACCTACTGTGTATAATGAATTCTTCTTTGAGTAACTTTATATCTGGCAGCTTCTATCACAAAACATTTTGATACATCTTTTTGTGGTAGTAAAATAAATGTAAAAATAGTATCTGTAGGATTAAATTAGAAATAATAATAAATTTTAATTTGTTAGTATAAACTTTTACTTTCATTTTACTTTCTTTTTTGTAGTCCTTTAACACATTGCACATGATGTATCATGAGGCCACAGCTTGTCACGTGACTGGAGACCTGGTGGAACTTTTGTCAATATTCCTCTCGGTCCTTAAATCAACACGTCCATATCTTCAGAGAAAAGGTTTGGTAATGATTTTTTTTTAATAGAGATTAAAGGCTTTAGTTTGTTTGAACTAATTAATTTTCATGGACAGAAATTCTTTCATTGTTTGTCTCGTTGCTATGTAACCTTTGGGAATCATCTTTTTCTAGACAGTAAGAGTGACTAAATTAATTTAAATTATTAAAGTGTTAAAATGTATCTAAAAATAAATAGTATAGTTTTGACAGCAGTAGACCAGTGACAAGTCTTAGGTTACTAATTTGATTAAGATCACGTTTATAAAATTGATACAATGATCGTTTTAATTGCTCCATGTGACCATTTTCTTTCTTACTTCAAGAATTAAAAGTTGTCAAGAATTTGGAATGACAGATAACTTAGCATGTTTTTGTATTTGCAGATGTGAAGCAAGCGCTAATCCAGTGGCAGGAGCGAATTGAATTTGCCCATAAACTCTTAACTCTGCTAAATTCTTACAGTCCTTCAGAACTTAGAAATGCTTGCATTGGTAAGTTGTATTAATGCTACTGCAGTCTGGAAAGATTCTTTCCATATAACTCAATTAAAATTAACAGAAACAGATCTATATTACGATTATTTATGAATGTTCTGCACATTGGATTTGTTAATTTCTTGACATTAATAGAATTATTGTTTATTTTCCCAAGAATCTTACTAATCCTTGTATATCAAGAATAAAATGAATATTTAGGATTTGTTAGGCATCATTTTATATTATTCATTTAGCTTGTTTAAAAGCCTGGTGCCTGATTCTATTCTCTTCTCGCTTATATTAGTGTGAATCAGGAATAACTCTGTTGAAATCAATAGATTTTCTACAGTATTAGTAAGATCAGAATCAAGTTCCAGATCTTTAATTTAGCATCCACAGGGTAACTAAATTAATATTTAAAGTTAGTGGGAAAACTCATTTGTTGTGAAGCACAGAAACCTCGTTACCCTGAGTAAGAACTCCCTGTGTCCATTTCTATGCCCCATTTACTAAAAAAAGGCAACAATAAAAGTAAAAAGACGTGTTAAATAGCTTTTAAAAGTACCGGGCTATGATGTTTCTTGCTTCTTGATTCCTGGTGGGGTGTTTAACTTGTAGGAATGGACGTCATACCAAGAAATTCTTGTCTTCTTGCATTAGCAAACTTCTTCTGAAAGGCTTTATCTGATTTTTTTAAGGAGTAGAATCTGCATTTTTTTCTTGTTTGTGAAGGCCTAACCCACTGTCCAAATTAACCCTATTTTTAATATAATTTGTATGCCTTTTCCTGTTACTTTGAGTGCCCTTGTCATTGTCGTCCTGGCTGCTGCTGGTTGCCATTTTCCAGGCATCATACCTGATATGGTAAAGAAGAAGCAAAGAGGGTAATTTTCTTGAGCTTCTACTTCCTACAATTTGACACCCCTCTTATTGGTTGTTAAGGGAAAGTTGATATAACACTGATTAGGTTTTCTTCTAGTGGTAGAGGTGAAGGAACCTTGATTATTTCAGGTGTTTTCACGTTAAATTTTGTTCACTATAGAGCCTGCCTTCACAATGTGCACTAGCAGAAGTAATACCAAATAGATCAGGTTTTCAGATGCATGAGCCATAAGTCATGTTTACACTTAAATAACTTTGTGTAATAGCAAAACCAACTTCTCATTTGTAGATGTCCTCAAGGAGCTTGTGCTTTTAAGCCCTCATGATTTCCTGCACACTTTGGTTCCATTTCTGCAGCACAACCATTGTACATACCACCACAGTAATATCCCAAGTATGTATTTCTAATTGTCGTATTTTACAGTTGAATTTCAATACAATTGCTCTTTGTGTGCATTGAGGGGTGCTAGTGTTGACCTTTTAAATTCTTCATCATTTTGTCCTAATTTACACTACAGTGTCTCTTGGACCTTATTTCCCCTGTCGTGAAAATCTGAAATTAATAGGAGGGAAAAGTAATATCCGTCCTCCTCGTCCTGAACTCAATATGTGCCTCTTGCCTACGATGATGGAAGCCAGCAAGGTATGGACATAGGGAAACCTGTTTTCCTGTCAATGGCATTACATATTTGTAGTTTGTAAAGAAAGCATAATTTTAAGTGCTTTCAAAATGATGCCTTGTACAATGTGTTTACCCACTAACTTACTGTGTAAGCAAATTTTAAAAACTGTACTCATGAAATTTAAAATTTTCCTCAGTGGGTTTGAATTATGTGGTGGTGCCTGTGCCCAAAATGATGTAATATTATGAATTTCCATTACAAATATTTATATAGTGTATGAGCCCACATTTTATAATTAATAATTCTTTAGTATTAAGAGCCAGTTTTAAAAGAAGTCTCTAAAATTGCACCAACCATCTTTCTTGCTAATATTTTTGCGTATGTATTTTTCATCTGTGTGTTTTTTCATTAAATTGTGTTTGCATGCATGAATCTCAGATACTTAGATTTCTAACTATCTGATCTGTGCATGCCAATGCTTGAGCATATAAATCCAAAAATTTGGATGCAGAAATTATATGTGAAAACTTTGGAATGCAAAACTGCAGACCTGATTTTATCGATTGGGCTATATATATCTTTCAAAATTTAGTTGTTCTTCGACTGATTCCTCATATCGATTCCGATTAGGTGTGTGCGTGCCATGTGCACAGTCATTGGAAAGTTTTTCCTTTAGCAGCACCCGTCGGGTCGGCTGCAGAGCTCTCTGGGGTGTCACCTCCATGGCACTCAATATATGACCCTGCTAACCTGGAGCCTCCTCATTTCCTTCTTACCGCCAGTGACAGTCATTGGAACTGTGGCGACTTGCTTAACAAGTTCTTCTCTCATTCTTCTAGCTTTCAGTTCGTGTTAGTTTAGTGTTACTTGTATTTGTAGTTAGTTAGTGTTAGTAGTTTTAGCCGTTGGGTGTGGGGGTTTCCCCTCCACCCCAACTGCCTATCTCCCCATGGGGACTCAGGGCATGTCTCGGTACCAAGGGTTCAAATCCTGCAATAAGCCCATGCCAACGGGCGACCCCCACGAAGCTTGTCTAAAGTGTCTGGGGGAGACGCAGCAGGCTGACAAGTGCAGGATTTGTAAAGGGTTTCGCCCTAGAATGAAAAAGGAGTGGGACTTTCATTTAAAACATCTTCTTATAGAGGCGGCTCTCAGACCGCAATCCACCTCTGTGCAGTAAGACATGGCACCAAGTTCATCGGTGCAGAGCGCTCCGGCATCCGTGGTAGATGGACATAGGAAGGACATAGGGACCCACGGCAACGCAACCAAAGCCAAAGGGAATTGTCTGGCACCGATCTCATTCCCTTGCGCCGCAGGAGCGGCACCAGAAGCAGGGTAGGAGTGGATCTCCGCCTTCGAGACCCAATCCCTCGGAGTCGGCCATTGGAGCACGTCCCAGGAAGGAGCACCCAACACCGTGATGTTTGGAACCAGCACCGTCGACTTCTGCACCGTAAAGGGGACCGTTGAGTCCAGTACCTTTGGACTCCGCAAGCCATATGGTGGAAGAGGTGGGGATGCCATCCACCCCAGACGCCTTAGAGGCCATGAGGGATCTCAAAGCCATGACTGCACCGAGGTCCCCGGCTTTCCGGGACAAGCCCCCGGCGCTACTGAAAGTGGCACTGTCATGAGGCAAACCGGCGATGCTGCATCTGCCTACACCCAGCAGATCACCAGTCCAGATAACACCAGGGGAATGTCACATCCATGCTGAAATTTAGGGAATTGTTGCCCTTGGAGTCCAGGGAGGAGTTTGGGGCTATTGTTGAGGAGGGCAAAGAAGTAGCATGGACCTCTTTGCAGGCCTCTTTGCACCCTTTCCTCAGGGATAGTCATGAGGAGGAGTTCATGGCTACAGGCATCAGGCTTATCCCCAGAGGTGCAGCAAACTCTGCAGAACCTGCCATTCGATGGGGCAGGCCTGTTTGCGGAGCAAACAGACGCCAGGCTGCGCAGCCTAAAAGACTACCGGGTGACAATGAAGTAATTGGGTATGCACACACCAGCAACCCAATGCAAACACTTCAGGCCGCAACTGCAACAACGCCCTTATCCTCCTTGACTGAGGTAGGATTTCTCTAGAAGGAGGAGCAGAAATGGCAGGCGGAAGCCTCCCCATTCTCCACCAGGGCCCAACTAAGCCATCATCAGACTCCAAACAGGACTTTTGAAGGTGTGCCCAAGAACGGTGCACCCGCCACAACACCGGATCCTTCCCCTTGTTTCTTGAATCGTCTGTCCCACTTCTGCCGTGCTTAGTCCCGAATAACATTGGACTGATGGGTTCCTCTTACTGTAGAAGTGGGATATTCTCTTCAATTCTGCTCCTCCCCTCCATCCCATCCCCCTTCCCCATCCCTCTTCAGGGACCCTTCTCACGAGCAACTCCTTATTCAGGAGGTTCAGGCGCTCCTAGCCATAGGAGTAGTGGAGGAGGTTCCTCGGGGGCCAGGGATTCTATTCCTGATACTTCCTAATCCCCAAGACCAAGGGGGTTCTCAGACCCATTCTAAACCTGCGAGGACTCAACAAGTTCATGGTAAAGTTGAAATTCCACATGAGTACAATTATCCCTTCTCTGGATCTGGGAGACTGGTATGCTGCCCTTGACATGAAAGATGCGTACTTTCACGTAGCTATTCGGCCTGCACACAGACGATTCCTTCAGTTTGTGGTCGATCACAAACATTATCCTTTCGCGGTCCTTCCCTTCGGCCTGTCAACAGCTCCCCGAGTGTTCACCAAGTGTCAGTTGTAGCAGTCTTCCTCCGAAGGAGGCAGGTGCAGATATACCCCTACTTCAATGAGTGGCTGCTCAGGGGGCGCACCAGGGAACAGGTGGAGTCCCAAGTCCGATTAATCAGATCCACTTTCAAGAGACTGGGGCTCCTCCTCAACATGAACAAGTCAACCTTATCACCGACCCAAAAAATTGAGTTAATCGGGGCAATGTTGGACTCAGTTCAGGCAAACCATGGCAGACATCATTTAAGGCCTCAGGCAGTACCTGACCACTACAGCAAGGGGATGCCTGAGTCTCCTCGGCCACATGGCAGCCTGCACTTACGTGGTCCAGGACGCCAGACTGAGGCTCAGGCCACTCCAGGCGTGGTTCGCTTCGACCTATCGCCCGGGGCACGACAGCCTGAGCTCTGGTCATGGTGCCAGAGCAAGTACTCGAGTCCCTCCAACTGTGACTCGACCCTCAGACAGTGTGTGAGAGTCCCTTCAGCAGCCCCCAGCCCCGCTTGTCCCTGGTAACGGATGCGTCAGCTCTGGGATGGGGTGTGCATTTGGGAGACCTCCAAACACAGGGCCTCTGGTCACAGGACGAGATCTCTCTCATATCAATATCAAGGAGCTGAGGGCAGTGAGGCTAGCATACCAAATTTTTCAGGCCCAACTACAAGGCCAGTGCATGGCAGTTATGACAGCAACACCACTGCCATGTTTTACATCAACAAGCAGGGTGGAGTCCGTTCTTCTCCCCTATAGCGGGAAGCCCTCCAGCTATGGGAGTTCTGCATAACCCATTCCATTCACCTGGAAGCATTCTCTCTACCAGGAGTTCAGAAAGCATTGGTGGACCACCTCAGCAGGTCTTTTTCACAACCACGAGTGGTCCATCCGGCCAGATGTCATACCCTTCCAAAGGTGGAGGTTTCCCCAGGTCAATCTGTTCGCCACCCAGAGCACCAGAAAGTGCCCAATGTTCTGCTCCTTCCAGAGACACAGCCCAGACTCAATCACAGATGCGTTCCTGCTACCCTGGGGAGGCTGCATGCTCTATGCCTTTCCCCTGTTCCCATTCGTGCACAGTGTCCTACTCAAGTTACGCAGGGACGGGGCGGAGATAATTCTGGTGGCAACAGCGTGGCCTCGGCCTGGAACTGTCGGTGGTCACCCCGATCACGTTGCCACTCCTCCCCCACCTGATCACTCAGGACCACAGTCATCTTCATCACCCTGACCTGCAGTCCCTCCACCTCACTGCCTGGAAGCTTCATGGCTGAACCCCATGGAGCTTCTGTGCTCAGAACAAGTTAGGGAGGTCTTACTCGGCAGCAGGAAGCCCTCCACTAGGGCCTCATATCTGGCAAAGTGGAAAAGGTTTACTTGCTGGTGTGACCAGTGTCATACACCCCCACTTCAAACACCAATACCTCTCATCTTAGAGTATCTTCTGCACCTGAAACTGCAAGGCCTGGCAGTGTCATCCATAAAGATACACCTCGCTGCTATCTCGGCTTGGATGCTCCGTCTTCGCCAACCCTATGGTTGGCCGATTTCTCAACCGTCTGGAATGGCCACATTCCCAGATTAGACAGCCTGATCCCATGTGGGACCTTAACCTGGTCCTCTCCAGACTGATGGGGGCCCCATTTGAACTTCTGGCAACTTGCTCCCTTCTCTGTCTGTCGTGGAAGGTAGCCTTTCTGGTCACCATTACATCAGCAAGGAGGGTGTCTTGAGTTAAAGGCCCTTACCTCCGATCCACCCTATACAGTTTTCCACATGGATAAGGTGCAACTCCAACGTAACCCAACCTTTCTTACTAAAGTTGTGTCGCACTTCCACACTAGTCAGGACATTTTTCTGCCTATTTTTTATCCTAAGCCTCATACCAGTGGCTGTGAGAAGAGTCTGCACTCCCTGGATGTTCGGCCAGCGCTAGCTTTTACATCGATTGCACTAAGCCGTTCAGGAAGTCAAACCAGTTGTCCGTGGTGGTGGCAGACCGGATGAAAGGTCTCCCAGTTTCATCTCAAAGAATATCTTGCTGGATCACGTCCTGCATCTATACGTGCTACGAGCCGGCACTTAAAGCACAGGCCTCATTGGAGGCGTTCCTGGCCCAGGTCCCTGATACAAGAAATCTGCAGGACAGCAAATTGGTCCTCGGTGCATACTTTCATCTCTCATTATGTCACCATTCAGCATGCCAGAGATGATGCAGCTTTCGGCAGAGCAGTGCTCCAATCAGCGATTCTATAACTCTGACCCCACCACCTAGGTATGGCTTGGAAGTCACCTAATTGGAAACGCTGGTCTCCCCCGTGAAATCTGTATAGTATGGGGCAGGGGTCGGCAACCTTTGGCACCCAGCCTGTCAGGGTAAAGCCGTGGACAGGATGGTTTGTTTATCTGGAGCGTCCGCAGGCACTGAGCCCCTCAGCTCCCACTGGCTGTGGTTCGCCGTTCCCAGCCAATGGGAACTGTGGGAAGCGGCGACTAGCATGTCCCTCGGCCAGTGCTGCTTCCCGCAGCTCTCACTGGCCCCGAACGGCGAACCATGGCCAGTGGGAGCTGCGGGGCTCTGTGCCTGTGAACACTCCAAATAAACCTTTATCCTGATGGGTCAGGTGCCAAAGGTTGCCAACCACTGGTATAGGGTAAAAGCACACAAAAGACCAGATTTCACGGTCTGTGACATGTTTTTCATGGCAGTGAATTTGTTAGGGCCCTATCTATAAAACTGCCTTTAAAGAACGTTTTGGGTGTTGCAAACAGATATTAATCTGGTTATTGATATGCCCTTTAAAAACTGAATGTATGTACACTGATCTGCAAATTAGCATCCAATTTTATTCACATCAGATCTATTTTGAGTTAATTTTGGAAATGCTCATCAGGTTATACAGCAGTATATTATTAAATGCATAGAAAACTTACGGTTCTTAATAAGCTTATTAACTAAATTTTTAGGTATGTCATGTAGTTGCCCAGTTGCTTAATTTAAACTTAATCTATTTATAAATTGTCTTCTTAAATCTTCAGGGTAAAGATGATGTTTATGATCGTATGCTTCTAGACTACTTCTTTTCGTACCATCAGTTCATCCATCTATTATGTCGAGTTGCAATCAACTGTGAAAAGTTTACCGAAACTTTAGTTAAGATGAGTAAGTATGGCAGTTAAACAGTAAATCCTACCTAAACAGACTTCCTTAGCCATTGAGATGTTTTGTAGTGGCAATTATGCGAAACTATGTACTTACTTTTTAAAATATAATTCAGTATATTGATAGTCAATTGGATTTAGGCTCCAAAATGCTTAAATCCCTTTAGAAAATGAGATTTAGGCTCCTGAATCAGTTCTGTATTGCAGAGCTGAGCACAGCAATACCTAAATACCTTTACAAATCTAGACCTTAATCCTCAGCCTTGCTGAGACTGCTAACAAGTGTGCCAATTAGTGCCAACTCTGACAGTGGTTTCTGGGATGTGGGTGCCTCATCTGTGCAGTAATAGCTGAATTGAGACCACCAATTCATTTTACATAAGCAATCAAAGAGCCATCGGAGGGCACCAACTCTGTCACTATAAACCTGGGCCTGATTCTAGTTAGTGAGTTACAGCCTGACCACACTATAACTTTTAGCTGAGTTTGTACTCATCTGGTGAAAATGGTTTTTACTTCCACACATGGCAGCTGTGTTTCACCCCTGCCAGAGGCCTAGAGTAGCCTTTCTATAACAATTCCAGGACACTAGTTTTTTTACTCTGCCTGTCTAACGAGTTCAGCAGTCCTTCTTCATCCCAGCTCTCTCTGTGTAGGACATCCTAAAGTGAATTGCCACACATACGAGTGGTGCTCTGTGTGTGCATCTTCTGGAATAACTACTCAGATTTTCCCACAATACAATATAGTTAGGCAGCATGATAGGTGTAGATACACAAACATGGTTATGTTGTCAGGAAAGTTTCTTTGTAACTGGTAAGAGCTATCTTTTTGACTAGTTACAAAATTATGGAGGTAGTGTGGATTGGCTTTTACAGGTAGGAATTAATTAAGCCATTGAGTCACCCGCTGATTCTTTGTTCAAGCCATGAACCACAGAGCAAAATTACTATTTAGTGTGGGATTTTTCTGCTGAAGTGTTTATCAAGAATGTGTAACCTTTGCTATTGATCACTGTGTTACCTAGCCAATGTTTCATTATGTGTATGTAGATAAAGTTGTGGCTTGAGGTGAAGATGAAGCTTAAGAAATTTCAAATCTGTTGTGCTCATGCTGCTTTGTTTCTCAAAAAATATGAAAACTGATAAATTGTTCCAGCTAAAGAATTAAAAGAAAACAATATTGAGATCAGATGCTACATTTTAGACTCAGCAGGTAAAAATGTAGAACAAAGTCCTGTTCTGTAGACTAACTGTACTATAAAAACCATTCTAGATGCTAGACCTTTGTGGTCATATGTAATTGGTTTAGGATATAGTCCTCTGAATTTGTATGGTGCTTCAAAACTATCAGGTCAAAAAATAAATATATCCTACAACGATCAGTTTTAGGTAGTTCTTTATGTCATCAGTTTTGTTTTCTCTTAACATTTCAGGTGTCCTCGTTGCTTATGAAGGTTTACCACTTCATCTTGCATTGTTTCCCAAACTTTGGACTGAGCTGTGCCAGACTCAGGTAAAATTTAAATGGGTTTGAGAACCAACTGAACAAGAATATTTACAAGATGTGACAACTGTAAATGTTTTAAAGATAGTTACTTTTTAAACAGCAATTCATAAGACAAATTACTAATTAAATTCAGTACACTTTAAATGTATTGGGTGTTGTTAATTTGTTCACAACTTTAACATTTTTAAAATTAAATGTTAACAATTAGTAACACCTTGTGTTTATATTGTGACTTTTATCCTGAAGGATCTTTAAAAAAGAAAAAAAAAAGACTAACTGATATGCAGATCATGTATACCCCTGATCCTGCAAACACTTTTGTATGCTACTAACTTTACACACATGCATAAATGTTAGTAGGCTTGGAGCTTGTGCTTGTCAATAGAGATTGCTTTGCCCACCATTGAAATCCAGCCACTTCAGAGTTGTAGTATACCCAAATATCACAAT